CAAGATTGGATTGAAACGTTTCTATTGACAAATCTGTTTACAAGTATTGGATTGAAAACGTTTCTATTAACAAATCTGTTTACAAGATTAGATTGAAAACGTTTCTATTAACAAATCTGTTTACAAGATTAGACTGAGAACGTTTCTATTGACAAATCTGTTTACAAGATTGAATTGAGAACGTTTCTATTAACAAATCTGTTTACAAGATTGGATTGAGAACGTTTCTATTAACAAATCTGTTTACAAGATTAGATTGAAAACGTTTCTATTAACAAATCTGTTTACAAGATTGGATTGAAAACGTTTCTATTGACAAATCTGCTTACAAGATTGGATTGAAAACGTTTCTATTAACAAATCTGTTTACAAGATTGGATTGAGAACGTTTCTATTAACAAATCTGTTTACAAGATGGCGAGTAGAACTATACTAAAGAAGGTAAGAAGGATCTGAGAAAATGTAAACACGAGTTTTTAAATATATATTCAGAAGAGACAAAAATACGTGACTTGGCTCAATCCTTAAGCCATACATGTCTCCAGTTTCTCTAGGATGTGGCAAACTACGTGATTTAAGTTAAAGTTACAACTAATATCTGTGAAGTTACACTGAACAGGTGCGATTCTAAAAACGTAAGATTGAGTAATAAAGATACATATGTCAACCGCGCGATGTCTGCCTCATCCTGTGCTGAAGTGGCTTAGTTGTAACTTACACCTTGTACCTTTGAAGTTACACCAGATGCGACTTAGCCGTACCTTACACCCCGTATCTTTTAAGTTACACCAGATGTGACTTAGCTGTAACTTACACCCCGTATTTTTTAAGCTACACCAGATGTGACTTAGCTGTAGCTAACACCCCGTATTTTTTTTAAGTTACACCAGATATAACTTAGCTGTAGCTAACACCCCGTATTTTTTAAGTTACACCAGATATAACTTAGCTGTAACTTACACCCCGTATTTTTTAAGTTAACACCAGATATAACTTAGCTGTATCTTTTAAGTTACATCAGATGTGACTTAGCTGTAACTTATACCCCATCTTTGGAGTTGCAATAAACAAATGACAGAAGGTATGTGAGGTAGCTGAAAGTTGCAACTGATATTTCCGAGATTACGTGATATAAAACTGTTGTAAACTTACAACATGTATTCTGTAGTGACACAAAAAAACTGACCAAACGTTGGATGTTACCTTAAATATACAACCCATTTCTCTGAAGGCACAATGAAGCGTTACAGATGGACAATGGTCCTTCAAATGGACTTCCATGTCTTCTCTCGGAACTTTGGTTGGTTCACAGCGATTGGGGCAAGATAGTGGATATCTAGGGCATTTCGCTGTATGGTTCTGTAAGCAATATGACAGTGTGTTATTACGTCATATGAAATAATTTTAAAATTTTGATGAGAACAACTTAACATTTATAAGTTTGGTTTGGAGTTAATCGTCCTTTGTTTTAAAATGACACAAGGCAGCTAGCGAAAAGTACCCAGCGCCAACTCTTGGGCTACTCTAGCTTGAATAGTTTGATCCTACCACCACTATTATAAAAGCAGCCATGGCCCCCAAAAGAATCGCGAACCATGAACCCTCGAATCCACAGTCCAGCAATAACCAATAAGCTACGAATGATAATAATTGTAAGAAAACTCCAAACTAACAAAGAAAAACAAAACTTCTAAAACAACATTAAAAGGTTGAATCATTTACAGTTGAAACTAAACAAAAATGAAATAATAATAAATTAGCATCAGTGAAATCAGCTCCATAAAAAAAAATATAATAAAAAAAATCATAGTTTTGGATTAGGTGTAACTTCTACGAACATATTTTTAGCCGCGGCTCAAGGAAAGGCTTAGTTATTGTTTTTTCGAGTACAAACGTTTAGCTCATAGTTCCGTCATCTCTTGACCGATTTTAGATCTAATTACATTTTTGAACTCAGGAGGTCAAACCCTTTCGATTGATACGTTTGACCACGCCAAAAGTCTCATAGATGAACTTACTCTAATCCTGCCTAAAAATTTAAATTTGAGGGTAGGCTGGTAGAGATCCTGATGAGTAATAAAAATCGAATCGCGTAATACGTGCGCACCACGATTGCTGGCGCACAAAGATTATAGTTCATAGAAAGAAAAGGAAAAAAAAAAGAGTCTACGATTAATTTACTCTAATTGTGCCTAAAATAGTTTCAAGTGCCGCGACTACTGAGAATCCCCCTCTTGTTTCATTTAATTTCCCCGCACAGTTTAGCTTCGTCTTTACAATACTTTAATATATACAACTGGTGTTTAAACTTCGTTTTTTTTTTGTTTACATGCAATCACATAATCCATTTAATTTAAACAGTATTCGAAAATGTTTAATTATAAAATATACCAGCTAATACAACAGTGTATTATTTCAATTCGTGCTTTTATTGGACATTTAAAAAGAAATAGAATAATTTTGGAACACTTCCAAATATTTACGCTAATTGTCTGATAAGTAACTGATATCGAAACCAGATTTGTAGCCTTATAATCCCTCAGACTTACCGCTAAGAAAAATTATGTCTCTGTAACAATTTTATAAACGTGCCAAGTTTCTGTCCGTTCAATGCTGAAAATAATATTCGATTAGTTGTTAGATTTTTGCCTATAAAGGGCCACACACAAATTTTCCTAAACGAAAGTTTCTAGTCCTAGCACCAACCTGTAACGTATCGTATACGAACTCCTTTTCACAATATCGGCAGGCCGCGAGTTTCTTCATACATTCATTCAGCCGGTGGTTGGTGGTAAATCTACGTTGAAGTTTCAACCCACACTTGTTTTCGCAGTACACCGGCTCGTACTGACAGCTGCCCACGTGGCCCTGGATATTGAAATGTTTTATTAGTCACTATCAAATTCATTTCATCAGTTCCAACCGAACGATACACTTCAATTACATAACTCGGTGCCTTTGACTGCAATGTGTGTGGTTTTTTCACACACACATTGCAGTCAAGGGCATGACTTTTTTTAAAGGGATGACCTTTTTTTCACATTGCTAGTCAAAGGGATGACCCAAGGGCATGACTTTTTCTTTTTTTCCACACACATTGCAGTCAACAACTCGGTAATTTGAGGATCAAAAAGATAACATTTAGGAATTGTTAAACATATTATTCTGTCAAACATACCAATCAATACATCTAATATATTAAAACGTTTTGGGGCCAAGCGTGGCCCAGTGGTGAGAATGCCGAACTGTGTATGTACGGATCCAGTGTTCGTATCCCGTTCCCACGCTTCAATGCCGTGGGTGTTATATAAGCGTGACGGTCAAATCTAACTATTCGGTCAGACAAGAGTTGGCGGTGGTAAGACTAGAGGGGGAAGGCATCACCACCCACCGCCAACTTCTGAGCTACTCTTTTAACAACGAATAGTGGGACTGACCGTCACATTATAAGGCCCCCACGGCTGAAAAGGTGAGCATATTTGGTGGGACGGGGATTCGAATCCGCGACCATAAGATTGCGAGTCAAGCACCCTAACCACCTGGCCATGCAGAGCCACCAGCTAGAAAAAATAACTAATATTTTTCTCTTTTTTTTTTCACGTTGCTAGTCAAAGGGATGAATTTTTTTTTTCACACACGCATTGCAGTCTCTGAATTATACGTGGACTTCGCTTTTAATAAACGCCATTAGTTTGTATAGGTCCTTGAAAACTTTGAAAGTTCGTGAAGTTTTAAGTAACAAGTCCAAGGCCTTAAAAGTACTTGAATTTTGGCAGGTAAGTTTGCATTACCTAAAAAGGGAATGAACTGTATGATATTATACCATATTTGGTCATTTTGTTTCTTTTTGCCGATTATACTTAGCGTGAAGAAATGACCCAAAAAATTGGGCGAAATTATTCATTTTCTACATAAAATACAAAAAGGGGACCCAGTAGTAAAATAGTAATAATAAATGCAATATTGATAGTTTTTATATTTTTTGAGTGCCTTATCCGTTATCGAGGACCCTGTAACCAACAAAGCTATAGACCTACAAGTTATTTGTTGCGTAAATAAATTTGGAGAAGTTTTTAAAAAGCCACATCTGTAATGCTAGAATTAGAATAAACAATCTAGTATTTTGAAGGAATCACACTCTCTAGCATCAACTTAAACTGTCTAAAATCCGGGGTTTCATCCCCCCGTAGGTGGCCAAAGCGCAAATGGTCCATTGCGCTGAAAAAACAACAACAACGACGACACAATTTAAAAACAAATAAAGCTCACATTTGTTTTTACCTCATCACTTATTTACCGTTCGACTCGACTCTATGATAATCAAGATAATAAGCATACTGTTTTATAGATTTTAAGTCATAATTATAAATGATAATTTGGAAAAATGCCACAAACTTGGAATTATATCAACCGCATTATTTTTTTCTCGATTATTTAAAAAGTTTTGAAGTATTCATACTTTATTATTGTATCTTCAGAACAACTTTTTCCCAAAGTTAAGCAATGATGGGCGATCAAAAACAAAGTTTTTTTTTTCTCTTTTTGTTTTCTTCTCTTGTTTGTTTTGGAATTTCGCGCAAAATTACACGAGGACTATCAGCGCTAGCCGTCCCTAATTTAGCAGTGTAAGACCAGAGGTAAGGCAGCAAATCATCACTACCCACCGCCAACTCTTGGGCTACTCTTTTACCAACGAACGATGGGATTGACCGTAACTTATAACGCCCCCACGGCTGAAAGGGCAAGCATGTTTGGTGTGACGGGGATTCGAACCCGCAGATTGGGAATCGAGCGCTCTAACCACCTGGCCTTCCTGAAATATAAATTGGATATAAGGCCGAACCACTGAATCACAGTTATCATACACGTACACAAAATCTCTCTCTCTTAACCGTGTGTCACACGTACATAAAATATCTCTCTTAACCGTGTGTCACACGTACACAAAATCCCTCTCTTAACCGTGTGTCACACGTACACAAAATCCCTCTCTTAACCGTGTGTCACACTTACACAAAATCTCTCTTAACCGTGTGTCACACGTACATAAAATATCTCTCTTAATCGTGTGTCACACGTACATAAAATATCTCTCTTAACCGTGTGTCACACGTACACAAAATCTCTCTCTCTTAACCGTGTGTCACACGTACACAAAATCCCTCTCTCTTAACCGTGTGTCACACGTACACAAAATCCCTCTCTCTTAACCGTGTGTCACACGTACACAAAATCTCTCTCTTAACCGTGTGTTACACGTACGTTACATGTATATCATGTACGGTTTTGAATCCTTTCACACAACACCTATAGATTATTAAGACAAAGAATACAATGAAATATCTTTATCTCAGTTAAACCTAACGTAACTGTGGAAAACCGATACTAAGCTTGAGTTAAAGTACAAACACGTCTATTTCCTCTACTGATACAGTTTTTGAAATGCGCGAGGTTACTAAAATGTAACTACATCTTGATCAAACATAATATACATCTCGCTCTGTCCGGATACGTCGAAAAAACAACACAAACAAAAGATCTAGCACAATGGTGATTTTAGGGCTAGTGTTTGTAATTGAAAAGATCGTATTAGAGGTTAATTAATAACTCCCGATAAGAGTAAGTTACATGCTCAGAACGAAACTAAAAACAAATCTGGCCATCAGTACAGCTAAATAAATAAATATATTTTTCTTACGTTTCTAATTAAAAGATTCAAATGCATTATTTCATCAGTTGGGCTCCCTAGTTTTTAACGATATTTTCGGCCGTAATCCTAATAAGAACGCCTAAGGTTCGGCTAACTTAGGAGATATAGATTATTCCTAAATACATGTATCAAGCTAACAATACAAAACAATCTTTACAATTGTGGTAAATTTTCTAAAAAGGGATTCGAACTTGCGTCCCCTACAGCAAGATTATCAGTCTTGCTTATTTTCTTTAATTTGGTGTAAAGTCCCTGGAGAGCTATCTGCGCTAGCTGTCCCTAACTTAGAAGTGAAAGACTAGAGAGAAGGCAACTAATCAACCCCACCTACCGTCAAAGTCTTTGACTATTCTAATTGAATAATGGGATTGATTGTAGGTTTATAACGCCCTCACAGGCAGATTTTTTGGGCTATTTCACAAACGGGTTCCGAGTATTAATGGCTGGTTTTGACATTACTCAAGGAAAGAGTGACGTGAGTAGAAGCTGAGACTATCGACACTCGAGCAAGATAGCCTAGGCCTTTAGAGGCGCAGGTTCGAATCCCGCAGTTTGCAATTAATTCAGTGGGAGCAACTTACCTCCAAAGTTTCTCCTGTGAACTCCCTGTTGCAGAACTCGCAGCTGATTCTCCGTTTCGGACAGGTGTAGGACAGGTGGTCTTTCATGAGCAGCCTGGGAATCATGGCGGCACACTGGTTAGTGCAAGGAATGGCGTCGTATTTACACGTGTTCAAATGACCCTGCAGGAAAAGTCTCTCGGTCAAAATCTGGTTGTAAGTGTATCATTCATTACAGACACACACAAATAATACAGGAATAGATTATGACACAATCGGTCCACCCCCCACTTACACATATCGAGTTGCGGTTACATCTTAACCATCGGCTATATATAAATCACGGATCGTATTTAAACCACGAATCATATTCAACCATCGGTTACATACAAACCACGGATCATATTTCAACCATCGGTTATATATTATCAATACAGAATTCCATCGAGACTAATATTTTCTCAACCTTACGATAATGCAGAATTTATTAAAAGTTCTAAAAACTGGGAACCTTTCCCCATAAAAATCGTCCTTAAAAACTGGGAATCTTTCCCCTAAGAACCGTCTTTACAAGGATGGTACAAAGTTTTTGAAGATTTTCACTCTCTGACATTTATTTTAACATTAGATACCACAACAAACTAAGTTTATACAGGAAACTGACCTTGTCATGTTTACCGAGTTGAAACTACGCTGTCCTAATTAGGAAGGTAAAAAAGAAGCGGACTATATTATACCTTATATTATACAGATGCAACAGAAAAGTAATGACTAAAAAACTACAAACTATGGTCCTTAAAAAATGTTTTAATATTTCGCGAAATAAGCCTTAAAAGTTTTTATCATCCAGCCATCAAAAAAAAAAAATGATGTCGTATTTTGATAGTACTGGTACATTTATATAGATTACCACTTTTGGTGAAGGTACATGTAGTTACATAGACAGTACTAGTATATTTATATAGATTACCACTTTTGGTGAAGGTACATGTAGTTACATAGACAGTACTAGTATATTTATATAGATTACCACTTTTGGTGAAGGTACATGTAGTTACATGGACAGTACTAGTACATTTATATAGATTACCACTTTTGGTGAAGGTCCATGTAGTTACATGGACGGTACTAGTATATTTATATAGATTATAAAACAGGTAAAGTTGTTGATCTATAAAAGTTTCTCATTAGTTTGCAATTTCACGTAAAGCTACTTACTGTCTACACTAGCCGTCACTACTTTTGAAGTGACAGGGAAGGCAACTAGTCAATACCACCAACCGCCAACTCTTGGGTTACTCTTTACCAACGAATAGTGTAATTAATCAAAATATTATAATACCCTCAAGGCAGAAAAAGCGAGCATATCCTGGGATGGGATTCGAACCCGCAACCCTCAGGTTACGAGTGAAGTAACTTGACCACTAGGGTAATAAAAGTTTGTTTGTTTGTAATTAAGCACAAAGCTACACAATTGGCTATCTGTGCTCTGCCCACCACGGGTTATCGAAACCCGGATTCTAGCGTTGTAAGTCCGCAGACATACCGCTGTGCCACTGGGGGAGGGGGGGGGGCAGGTAACAAAAGTGGCGAGTGAAGTAACTGGACCACCAGGGTAATAAAAGTGGCAGGGAAAAAGCTAAATAAGACGAACAAAACTACAGTCACAACAAAAATATTTTGATAAAATTATTTTTGTACAACTCTAGTTTCTGAGTAAACAAGGAGGTGGGGGTGGGAGGAGAGAAATGTTACTTGTATAAAACTGTCTTGGTGTAGCTCTAAATAGATGGCCTTCTTCGAAGGACACAAATGACAATAAAACCTTGGTCACCTATTTAGTTTCGGGGAAGGTCGTGACGCGAACTGTATAATTCCATGGACAAAACCCAAAGCTTCGCTTTAAGCATGATAACTCTAACAATCCAACATAAGTGGTAAATCACGCCCCCCCCCCCAAAAAAAAAGTAAAGATGATAACTACAATGCGGCCTTGATTGAAAGACGTACTGAAGACTTAGTGGAAGTAACAATCAAATAAGTGGAATATCACGCGCTCAACCCCCCCCCCCAAATTTATGTTTTTTCTTTACATATTCTTGGGCCGGTGTTTAATACCGCATCACGTAATCAGTTCCACTTTTTAATAACGTTTTT